ATTTTTTATATAAAAGAGGTCTATATTTTACAAATGAAAACATAAAACAACTGGCTTTATGTTTAAAGTAATGTAAACTAAGAAAACTACAACTTAAATTTGGATGGTATATGCAAAAATATAATTTAAGATTTAATTTTAATTAAATATTATGAGGGATTAAAATCTTTAATTCTTTATTAATTTTCAAGAAAATTATTAAACTAGCATAAATTTTAAGCTTTTAAATATATTATTTTATTTATCATAAAGGATAGAAGATATTAATAAATTAATTCAATCATTAAGAAAAAATATAAGTTTAGTTTAATATAATCTTATCTATTGAATAAATTAAGTGATCACTTATTATTGTCACTTTTTTAAATACTTATTTACTCATTAATTTATCTAAAAAATGTGTATCTGCTTTAACTTTTATTTAATTTAAATTACTCTTAAACAATTTTTCTGAAATAAAATCTTAAATTTAATTTAAAATATTTGATTAAATAACTTTTATTAAATCATTTACAATGATTTTTCTAATGAAAAAGCTTACTTTCCATAAATTTTATTTTCTAAACTTTTTAAGCAATATTTAATCCTAATTTAATTTTTTGAGATTTTATATTTAAAATATTCTATTTTCATTTTTGTAAAATATTTAAAAGTAATCCTTTTAAGATATATAAGATAAATAATTTAGTTGATTAATTAATAATAATTGAAATAAATAAATTTAAATTTATAAATATACTTCAAATATAGTATTAATTATAAGCGGTAACTAAAAATATTAAAATATTAACTTTACTTATTTTTCATTTTTGTAAAACAAAAATCTTGAATTAGGACCATAATAATTATTAGTAAAGAAAGATTAATTAAAACACAAAATTAATAAACAAAATTTTTTAAATAAATTAAATAAAAACATTTAAAATAATTATCATATCTTTAAAATTAAAAATTTTTTTTAAATAATGTCATATTTAGCTCTTAAGTGAATTAAATTAATTATATAAATAATAATTTATTAAATTTAAACTATTAGATTAAATCAATTACTTTTCCAAAAATGGTATTAAAAAAATATATATACCAATATATTCAATCTTTTTTATTTACTTTTAATAAAAAATAAATATTTAATTATTAATTTTAGTAAATTCAATTAAAATATAATTCCACCAATCTTTTTATTTTTTAAGCTAATCTTTTGATTTCTGTTTGTCTTTATTCAGGCAATTCACTTTTTATAAATATTAATTTATTTTTTAAATAAATAAAAAATTTTACTTAAAATTATCTTATTTTAAACAAAAAAAAGTAATTACTAAATAGATAGTTTCAATAGCTTTATATTTTTACAGTTGATAATTTCTCTTGATTTTAGAAACTTCTCATTATTACTAAAAAAATAAAAATATTTTTAAAACTATAACTCATTTTTTTCAAAAGTAATAAATAAAATTTACTCTGAGCTAAAAACTAAATTTGTAAGTTGATTGCAGTTACTCAAACCTAATATAATACTTTATGTTCCTTTATCACCGATTTTATTCTTCCTTTTCAAACAAAATAAATAAATTTATTAACTATTTAAATTTATTTTGAAATTTAAATCAAAATATATAAAATAATTCAAACTTTTTTAAGTTATCAATAATAAATATATTATAACTTTACCTTATGTCAAATTTAAGATTTGTTAGGAATTTACAGTTACCAAGTGCTGTACCAATAGTAGAAGCTCCATCATCCCCAATTTAATTTTTGCTTTTATATGCAAATTATGTTTAATTTAAAATTTAAGACATTTTATAAATTAAAAGTGAAATAAATTTACCTTATGCAAATTTCTAAATTTGTAAGTTGATTGCAGTTACTCAAACCTAATCCAATATTTTATGCTCCTTTATCACCGATTTTATTATTCCTTTTCATACAAAATAAATAATTTATTTACTATTTAAATTTATTTTGAAATTTAAATCAAAATAAAAAAAATAATTCAAACTTATTTTAGTTATCAATAATAAATAAAAATAATATAATTTTACTAAATGTTAAATGTAACATTTGTTAGGAATTTACAGTTACCAAGTGCTGTACCAATAGTAGAAGTTCCATCATCCCCAATTTAATTTTTGCTTTTATATGCAAATTATGTTTAATTTAAAATTTAAGACATTTGATAAGTTAAAAGTAAGTTTTAAATCAGTTTGAATAAAATGCTTTAACATAACTTTTTTTAAAAGTTATAAATGAAATAAATTTACCCTATGTCAAATTCTAAATTTGTAAGTTGATTGCAGTTACTCAAACCTAATACAATACTTTATGCTACTTTATCACCGATTTTATTGTCCCTTTTCAAACAAAATAAATCAATTTATTAACTTTTTAAATTGATTTTGAAATTTAAATCAAAATTTATAAAATAATTCAAACTTATTTTAGTTATCAATAATAAATATATTATAACTTTACCTTATGTCAAATTTAAGATTTGTTAGGAATTTACAGTTCCCAAGTGCTGTACCAATAGTAGAAGCTCCATCATCCCCAATTTAATTGCAACTTTTGTATGCAAATTATGTTTAATTTAAAATTTAAGACATTTTATAAGTTAAAAGTAAGTTTTAATTCAGTATGAATAAAATAATTTAACATAACTTTTTTTAAAAGTTATAAATGAAATAAATTTACCCTATGTCAAATTCTAAATTTGTAAGTTGATTGCAGTTACTCAAACCTAATCCAATATTTTATGCTCCTTTATCACAGATTTTATTGTACCTTTTCATACAAAATAAATAATTTATTAACTATTTAAATTTATTTTGAAATTTAAATCAAAATATATAAAATAATTCAAACTTTTTTAAGTTATCAATAATAAATATATTATAACTTTACCTTATGTCAAATTTAAGATTTGTTAGGAATTTACAGTTACCAAGTGCTGTACCAATAGTAGAAGCTCCATCATCCCCAATTTAATTTTTGCTTTTATATGCAAATTATGTTTAATTTAAAATTTAAGACATTTTATAAGTTAAAAGTGAAATAAATTTACCTTATGCAAAATTCTAAATTTGTAAGTTGATTGCAGTTACTCAAACCTAATCCAATATTTTATGCTCCTTTATCACAGATTTTATTGTACCTTTTCATACCAAATTATGTTTAATTGAAAATTTAAGACATTTTATAAGTTATAAGTAAGTTTTAATTCAGTATAAATAAAATGCTTTAACATAACTTTTTAAAAGTTATAAATGAAATAAATTTACCCTATGTCAAATTCTAAATTTGTAAGTTGATTGCAGTTACTCAAACCTAATCCAATATTTTGTGCTCCTTTATCACAGATTTTATTGTTCCTATTCAAATGCAGTAAATAATTTATTAACTATTTAAATTGATTTTGAAATTTAAATCAAAATAAAAAAAATAATTCAAACTCATTTTAGTTATCAATAATAAATATATTATAACTTTACCTTATGTCAAATTTAAGATTTGTTAGGAATTGACAGTTACCAAGTGCTGTACCAATAGTAGAAGCTCCATCTTCCCCAATTTAATTGTCACTTTTATATGGAAATTATGTTTAATTTAAAATTTAAGATATTTTATAAGTTAAAAGTAAGTTTTAATTCAGTTTGAATAAAATGCTTTAACATAACTTTTTTTAAAAGTTAAAAAAGAAATAAATTTACCTTATACAAAATTCTAAATTTGTAAGTTGATTGCAGTTACTTAAACCTAATCCAATATTTTATGCTCCTTTATCACGGATTTTATTGCCCCTTTTCAAACAAAATAAATCAATTTATTAACTTTTTAAATTGATTTTGAAATTTAAATCAAAATTTATAAAATAATTCAAACTCATTTTAGTTATCAATAATAAATAAAAATAATATAATTTTACGAAATGTCAAATTTAAGATTTGTTAGGAATTTACAGTTACCAAGTGCTGTACCAATAGTAGAAGCTCCATCTTCCCCAATTTAATTGTCACTTTTATATGCAAATTATGTTTAATTTAAAATTTAAGACATTTTATAAGTTAAAAGTAAGTTTTAATTCAGTTTGGAATAAAATACTTTAACATAACTTTTTTTAAAAGTTATAAATGAAATAAATTTACATTATGCAAAATTCTAAATTTGTAAGTTGATTGCAGTTACTTAAACCTAATCCAATATTTTATGCTCCTTTATCACCGATTTAATTGTACCTTTTCATACAAAATAAATAATTTATTAACTATTTAAATTGATTTTGAAATTTAAATCAAAATAAAAAAATAATTCAAACTCATTTTAGTTATCAATAATAAATAAAAATAATATAATTTTACGAAATTTCAAATTTAAGATTTGTTAGGAATTTACAGTTACCAAGTGCTGTACCAATAGTAGAAGCTCCATCATCCCCAATTTAATTGTCACTTTTATATGCAAATTATGTTTAATTTAAAATTTAAGACATTTTATAAGTTAAAAGTAAGTTTTAATTCAGTTTGGAATAAAATACTTTAACATAACTTTTTTTAAAAGTTAAAAAAGAAATAAATTTACCTTATACAAAATTCTAAATTTGTAAGTTGATTGCAGTTACTCAAACCTAATCCAATATTTTATGCTCCTTTATCACAGATTTTAAAAAAATAAAAAATTTAAGAAAAAAATGCCTTAATTAAAATATGTCTTAATTAATGAGCATTTATAGTATATAAAATAATTCAACCTTTTTTTAGTTACCAATAATAAATAAATATAATATAACTTTACCGAATGCCAAATTTAAGATTTGTTAGGAATTTACAGTTCCCAAGTGCTGTACCAATAGTAGAAGCTCCATCATCCCCAATTTAATTGCCACTTTTATATGGAAATTATGTTTAATTTAAAATTTAAGATATTTTATAAGTTAAAAGTAAGTTTTAATTCAGTTTGAATAAAATGCTTTAACATAACTTTTTTTTAAAAGTTATAAATGAAATAAATTTACCCCATTAAAAATACTAAATTTGTAAGTTGATAGCAGTTACTCAAACCTAATCCAATATTTTAAGCTCCTTTATCACCGATTTTATTGAACCTTTTCAAATGAAGTAAGTAAATTTATGAACTATTTAAATTGATTTTGAAATTTAAATCAAAATATATAAAATAATTCAACCTTTTTTTAGTTACCAATAATAAATAAATAAAATATAATTTTACAAGATGTTAAATTTAAGATTTGTTAGGAATTTACAGTTACCAAGTGCTGTACCAATAGTAGAAGCTCCATCTTCCCCAATTTAATTGTCACTTTTATATGCAAATTATGTTTAATTTAAAATTTAAGACATTTTATAAGTTAAAAGTAAGTTTTAATTTAGTTAGAATAAAATACTTTAACATAAATTTTATTAAAAGTAAGTAATGAAATAAATTTACCTTATGTCAAATTCTAAATTTGTAAGTTGATTGCAGTTACTCAAACCTAATCCAATATTTTAAGCTCCTTTATCACCGATTTTATTTTGCCTTTTCAAATGAAGTAAATAAATTTATTAATTATTTAAATTTATTTAGAAATTTAAATCAAAATAACTCAAACTTTTTTTAGTTACCAATAAATTAATAAAATATTTTTTTACCAAATGTAGAATTTGAGACTAGTAAGGAATTTGAAGTTACCAAGTTTTGTATCAAAAGTAGAAACTCCATCATCCCCAATTTAATTGAAGCTTGTATAAATGGAAATCACATTTTATTAAAAATTTAATAAATATTATAAATTAAAGTATTTTAAATTCAGTTGAAATAAAAAACTTTTTTTTTTTCAAAAATAATAAAAAAATTTACCTTATATCAAATATTAAATTAGTAAGTTGAGTGCATTTTCTTAATCCTAATAAAATATTTTATGCACCATCATCTCCAATTTAATTTCCCCTTTTGAAATAAAACAAATCAAATTATTAACAAATAAATTATTTTAAAAATAATTTCATTAAATTTTTTTAGATTATAAAAATTGTAAAATCAAAATTACCTAAGATAAAATTTTAAATTAGTAAGTAACTGTAAGTTACTTAATGCTGTTCCAAAACAATATGCTCCTTTATCACCAATTTAATTATTACTTTTATCATAAAAATCATATGCTTATAAATAAATTTATCATACTTGAATTGATTAATTAATAGTATTTTTAAAAATACTTAAATTGAAAAATCAAAATTAATTACCATAGTGAAAATTTTAAATTCTTAAGTAATTAACAGCCACCTAGTACAATACAAATAGCTGATGCCCCTTCTTCTCCAATTTAATTGTTACTAATAAAACATATAATGATATATAAATAAAAATTAATGATAACTAATAAAATTTTAAGAATTTATTTGATTAAAATTTATTTACGAGAGGTTAATATCTAGATGAGTCAACATTTTACAATTACTTAATGTCGTACTTATAGAATATGCACCTTCTTTTCCAAATAAGTTTGAACTTTTTTAAGTTTTTATTTACAATTAGGTATAAAATTATATTGAAAGATAATTTTTTAATTTAGAAAGGATCATCAATAAAGTTTACTCTGCATTTAAAGTTAAATTTGTGAGTTTAGCACAACTACTAATACCTTCTGCAATACTCGATATCCCTCTGTCACCTATTTTATTTTTCCTTTCCAAATATAATTGAATATTTTTAATAGAATTAAAATTAAATTACCAAAGCTGCAGATTTAAGTTGTTAAGTGTTTTGCATCTATTTAATACTTTGCAAATCCAAACTGCTCCTTCTTCTCCTAATTAATTTCCACTTTTATTATAAAATATTATTAAATATAATTTACTATGGTTAATGAAAAGTGCTAATGAGTTTTAAAAGATATTATTAAATATAATTTATTATATTTAATGAAAAATGTTAATGAGTTTTGAAAGATGAACTTAATTTTATTAAAAAATCAATAAATAAATAAATAAATTAATTAAAAAAAATATACTCTAAGTTTAACTATAAACTGTTAAGATTAATTAGATTGCTCATAGTTTCTTCTAATAGAATATTTCCTTAAGGTTCAATATCATTTAATCTTTCAAATTAAAAATAAATCAATTAAATACCAATAGTTACTTCTATTTTACCTAAGTTCTTGATAACCTTGATCTATGAGAATATTTTTTAGGATAATCAAAGATTGGGAATATATTTAATCATTGCTATTTAAATAGAATAAAATTAAAAAAAACTATTTTAATTAATTTAAATTATTAAATCAACATATAAATTAATATTTTATTTAACATATTTTAAGATTAAAACTTTTAGCTTTTTATAAATGGTAGAAATAACTAAGGTGATAACATAATGTTATAATTTATTAAGCAATTTGTTTGCTATATTAAGATTTATTAACATAAAAAATATATTTATTTACCTCATATTATTACCAGTTTCAACAAATTACTTTAAAAAGAAAAATTTAGCAAATAATTAATTTATCCTATCATCTGAAATATTTTCCTTACTACATGTTAGATTGATAACAAAAAATTAATTATGTAATTTAAGATAATAAAGTTAAAATATACTTAAGATTTAATACTAAAGATTCTAATTTTTCACATTTTACTAAAGAATTGTTAAGTTAAGCAACTTGTTCATTACTGAGAGTACAATTTCTATTTATTTTATAAATAATAACAAAAGAATTTAATTTAAGAATAAATGAATTAATGAATGAAAGATATTAAATTTTATTTATTCTTAATTTTGTAATAAAAAAAAAAAAAATTTATATATTTATTTTTATTAAAAAAACATTGTTTGATTTATTTGAAAAATGTATGATTAAATATTAATGAAAAAATTTATATTTATGTTTCTTACTTTAACTGTAAGTCAATATGAGTTAGAGTTTCCAAGTTAGATTTCATTAACTACTTATTTAAAAAAAAGATTTTATAATAATAAATAAAATCAATAATGATGGATACATCTTATAGAATGTTTTAACAGTTATTCTATTACTCCATTTTTTTTATTTATTACTATTTTTTTCTTTGATTATTAATTAATTATTTAATTATGATCAGAAATTAATAATTTTGATTAATTAAAAAAACTATTGATTTTCTTTATTAAGTATTCTTATTTAATTTGTGTGCCATTCTATAATATATACAGTAGATTCTCCTATATTAGCGTCCATATATATATATTAACACTCATTTTTTGCAAATTTTTAGAGAGAGAGTTATTGAAGAAAATTATTTTTTTCTTCTTCTTTATATAGAATGTTTACGCTATTATATAGCCAAATTAAAATTCTCATTTTTATATTTAAATTACACTGAAATTTTCTTAATTAATAAAATGAATTTATTAAAATTGTTAGTTGAAAATATTACCCTAGAAAAATTAATGAAAAGTAGAAATAATTTATTTTTATTGAATTTACTTTTATTAAATTAATTGGTCTCTTAACGATTTATTGTTCATTTTAAATATAACTTCTAAAGTTTTATCAAATATTTTTGATTGAAAACTTAGTTTTTTAAATATTTATAATTTTGAAATAGAATAAATATTCACAAAAATAAAAAATGTGTTTTTGATTTAAAAAATTGCTAGCTACAAACATGCGGTCGGTGTTTAAGTATTTATATCAAAATATTATAAAAATTGATTGGAATATTAATTGAATGAATGGAAATATATTAAATAATTAGTACTAAATTGAGCTAATATTTCAATAAATAACAAAAACTATTAATTTATCTGATTAAAAAATATAAATTCTTCTTATACCGTTAAGCAATAACACAGAAAGAATATATTAGCTTTTTATTATAAATAAAAGGACAAATTTAAGTTACTTCAAAATACATAAATTAAAAGGGTGCTGCTACCTGCTACTTTGATAAATAAAGCAAATTTATTAGATGGCGTTTGTTTACGAAAAAGATAGAGGATTGAGTTCTTTTGAAAATTAGTTGTTAGATACATCTCATTTAGGGCCTGGTAGATATGTAGGTTAATAATATTACAAATAAAATAAGGGATATGCTCCTTTTTTGAGTACCACAGAGAGGGATGAATCTTTTTTGAGTAAAAAGAACAAGAAGAAAGGCATTTAAGGTTAGTAAAATCCGACAGATGTTTCTCCTGGCCCTGGAAGCTACGAATTATCAAAGCCATTAGTTAAAGGAAATGTATAAACAACAGTAATTAATGATTAAACGATTGTGCTCAAAGTATAAACCTAAGGCAGTAGCAATTTCAGATCGACTGTCAACAGATTTTAAAATACTGCTGCTAGCCAATTACCTGGTCCAGGTTCATATAATTTTGAGGATACTGTTAAAGTAAAGAATGTAAGTAAGGTGAGCTAAATAAATCCAGATCACAATATTGTTCTAAATGAAATCAGATTGCATAATATGTCCAGAAAAATATCTTCTATCCCTGCGAGAACGATTTAAACTGCTAAAAATAATGACCAAAAGTCTCCTTTGAATAAAATTAACACAACAACTACAGCTGCTTCAAATAGAGCTTCCGAATTAGATTAGTTATTTTCAACTAATTAAAGCGGGATCAACGTTGGACCTGGCGAGTATGAGATTAAAAGTGGATTTGTAAACCAAGATAAAAAAGTAAGTAATTCAATTCAAAGGCTCTATATTTTTTACAAAAAATCTAAAAGATGCATAAAAAATATGAAAGATAAAATATTTTAAATTTAGGGTTTTGTTTTTCATGAGTTAAAATATCTCATAACAAAGTTATTAAGATAATTAAAACTATCAATTAATCCTTAATTTAGAGTGAGCATTATCAATTAAATAAATAGATTTTAAGATATTTAATAAAAAGGAATAAGTTGATATACTAAAAATAATTAAATAATTAGAATTATTTTAAATAATTAAAAAGTAATTGAGTGGATAAAATCATTAAAAGTAAAATAAATCGAAAATAACAAAGAAATTAATAATATAAAGTGTTTATTTGCTCATTAAAAAATACTTTAAATGCTATAAATGGCAAATATTTGAAACAAAAACTAGATTATAATTTTAAGAAAATGATTAAAAATAACAATTTTTTTTATTTATTTTTAGTAAAATGATATTAAAATATGTTTAATTTTTAATATGTAAAGCCAAGTGTTTGGAGCAAGTCAAGGGTTGATAGATTTGATAACTAGAAGCATATAAATAAAGTTGTTGGGCCAGGAAGGTATCAGCTTAATAAAAAATTAGAACCTAGATATAAAAAGGGAATGTCTGCTTCATTTAGATAACAGCCAAGAAGAACTTTATTTGATTAAATTGAATATGAAAACTCTCTTCTGCTAGGAAGAGTTCAACCTGAACCTGCTTCTTATAATATTCCTTCTTAGTTTAATGAAGCTAATTCCAAAAAACCATTCATTTTGTAAAATTTTTGTTCTACTTCTGATCGCTTTAAAGAGAATGATAAAGGCTATAACTTAGATCCAGGTCACTATTAATAAAAACCCGGTTTTGATGTAATTAAATATTATAAACTATGATCTTACAAAGATATTGTTATTATTATTTATTTAGATAAGAAAGCCTCCTAAGTCTGCTAATATTTCTTTTTAAAATGCTCCAGAAAGGGATGATCAATTTTTAATACCATATAAAATACAAAAAGAGATTCCGGGAGTTGGAGTTTATGATATTAATTAAACTAAATCTGTAATATTTATAAAAGTTAAATTGAATAGTTAAAATAATTTATTTTGTTTCAGATAAGAGGAGACATCATTAAAAGATATCACATGGGATATAAAGGTAAATTTGGGTCTCATTAACCACGTTTCAGAGATGATTTTGAGGCTAATGAGTTACCAGGTCCAGGATAATATGTAAGCAATAATGACGAAAACTCAGGAAATAAATAATTTTCTAATTCGTCTATGGATTTCAACTCATTTTTCAAATCACAAACTTAAAGAGATCCTTATGGAAAAAAAGACAGTAATTTTAAAGATTTAAATCCTTGATTTCATTTATTTATTCATATAAAAAGAAAACATTCCTAGTTGTGGCGAATACAGTCTTGATTATAACACAATAAATTACAAAACAACAAAGTAAAAATTATTTATAGAGAATCTTAAAAAAATTGATGTAGAAAAACCAGGCTTTGACTCTAAAAAACCTCGTTTTAATCATTACGAAAAAAGTACAGCAGGTACTTCTTAAAACTTGACTCCTAAAAATCGTTTGAATTAAACATTTGATGAGAATATTTTACATAAAAAATGCAAATCCTTAACTAAAGAATCTGACACTGTTTACAATGCCCCTAAACGTGTTGTTTAGCAGCCATTTGTTTCAAAAGTACAATTTTTTCTATTTATCATTCTTATTAATTTTTCAAAATATTCCAAGGTAAAAAAAATCGATTACATTCCTAATAAAGATGATAGTCTAGGACCAGGAATTTATGAAAGTAAGCAAGATTGGATGAAGAGAAGTTTTAATGTAAAATACTAAAAAAAGTGAACAAAATTAATTAACTATTTTGTTAAAATGAAGATTTTAAATCATTTATAAATATTTGTTTATATATTTTATTTTACTTTGTAAATTGAAATCAAATAAATATTTATAAAATAAAATATATTTTTTCAATTTCAATCAATCAATTTTTAATATTTTTGTAAATAAAATGTAATATTTTCTCTTTTTTATTTATTATTCTTTGCTTTCTCTTTCTTTATTTTTTTGTTTAAATGTATTTTAAATCATTTAAGTTCAAACAAATTATTTTTAAAAGTTAAAATCAATTTTTTACCTTTAAGAAATATTTAAGTTTAAAATATTAAAATAATTATTGTTATTAAAGAAATTTAAACAGGGAATTTTATTAAGCAAATAAAACTATGTTACTAATTAAATAAAATAATTACTTTCTAGAAAATCAATTTCAATAATCAAAAATATTTTAAATATTTTTGTTTCTCTACAAAAAAAGAATAATATTTTAAACTTGATAAACTTTAAATATAATGAATAGTTTTATTTTAAATAATTAGGAATTAAATTTATTAAAATAATTAAAAAAATTATCAATTAAATATTTTGAAAAATTTATCAAAATCTAACAAAAATAGTTTGATAAAGATAATTAAGCTATAACATGAACAAAGTAATTTATAAGCATTAAAATTAAATGAAATATCATTATTTTATCAATTTATTTAGGGATATTTTAAATTCAGGATGGATTAGCTGTTTTAATTTAATTAATACTATATATATGCCTTTATTCTTATTCAAATTTATCAAGTATTAATAGTTTTATTAATTAATTTCTTTATTTTAAGAATTTTATTCATAAAAGTAAACTAAGATTCGTCTTCATCAATATTATTGTAGCTTTTTTATAAAATTTATAATTAAGTGAAAAAATGCAATCATTAAAATGATAAATTAAAATAATTAATCAAAAATTTAATGCATGATAATTAATTAAATAAATTAGTAAAAAAATAATCAAAAGAATATGTTCCTATTACAAATAAATAAAAGTATTTAAAAAAATAAACTTTACAGCAAATCAATGTTCAAATTTGAGAGATTTTTACATTTTTATAAAGCAATACCAAATCTTAACTTACCTTCATCACTTATTTAATTATCACTTTTTTATTAAAAATTTAAATAAAAAATAGCACCTAAAAGAGATAAATTATGTATTTATTTGCTGAAATATTCATTTTTTTAATAAATTAATTTAAAATAATTTATTAAATCTAAAGGGATTAATTAAAATAAAATAAAGCAATTAAATGTTAATTCATAGCTTCTTTTACTTACTTAAAAGCAAATAGTTTAAAATAAATGTAAAAATTATAAAACTATAGTAAATAAATATGTTACCTAACATCAATATGTAAATTAGAAAGCTTAATGCAATTTTCTATTGAATGACCTAAGCTTGATAAACCTTCATCCCCAATTTGATTATTGCTTTTATATAAAAATTAATCAGATTAATTTAAACAGTAAATTAATAAATTTATAAATTATAAATTTTTTAACTAAAATTGTTTAGAATTAGCAATCAAAAGAAATATAAATATAACAAATAAAATAATTAACAATTAAAAAAAATAATTTATAAATAACATGTCTTTTTACTAAAGTTCGATCTTTAAAGTAGAAAGCATTGAGCATTTTACTAAAGCAGAGCTTAAGTGTAAGGCTCCCTATGACCCAATATTGTTACTCCTTTTATAATATATTTTTATTTAAGTTAATAAATTACATAAATATTTAAAAACATATTTTTATAAAAAAAGATGACTTAGATTAAAATAAAGCAATTTAACAGAAAATAAAAAAATTAAATTTATTTTAAATTATTTTTGTTTTGATTTAAGCTAATTTTTTGTGTGCATATTTTAATACTATATTAAACGAAGAATTTCGAAATTAATTATATATTTTTACATTAGATCAAGAGTTAAAGCTGAAAGGTTTGCACAGCTAGATAAACCAGAGCTTAAATTTTATATACTTGAGTCTCCGATTTAATTTTCGCTTTTTTAAATAAAAAAATAAACTCAATTAAAAAATTAAACTATTTATTGCTTTATATCTTAAATTAAATAAAATATTATTTTCAAAAATATTAAGGTATATTGATTATTCTATTAATTTAAATTTGAATATTGAGTTATATGAAAATAAAATAAAAATATTAATTTTACTTGAGAAAGAGTTATAATTTTTATATTTTAGTACACGCTTTTAATGCCTCAGCTAAACTTGATGTAGCTTAATCTTAAATTTAATTACAGCTGTTAATATTTTATATTTTGTTTTGAATATGTCATATAAAATAATATATTTGCATGATAGTTTATATATAAAAAAGAAATTAATTGATTTGTCAGTTTTATACAATCTTGTATTATATTTACCCTAGATTTACTGTTAAATCTGATAGATTTAGACTGTTTGCTAAAGCAGAACCTAAAAGTGCTAAGTTATTATCCTCAATATAATTTTGGCTTTTCAATTTTTAAAATATGATTTATTTATTAAATATTAATAAAATATTTTTTTTAATTTTAAAATAACTTAAAGATAATAAATAAATCAACTTAGAAAAAAATTGATTCTTAAATTATTTTATTTGTATTCAAAATAGGCAAATAAATTATATAAAAAATAATTTTACTATAGTTCGAGATGTAAAGTAGAAACATTTGTGCATTTAGTTAATGCTTAAAATAAAATTGAAAATTCTTCATCCTCCATTATATGTCCACTTTTAAATTATTTAAGATAATTTTAAAAAATATATTTAAAATATTATAAAATAATTTAAAAGTAGTAAAATATAAAATAGGTTTCTAGATAAAACTTATTTAAATATTTATTCGTTATTTTTTATAAAATAAAAGAGTATTATAAGCAAAATATTAAATATTATTTAAAAATGTATTTATTAATAGATTACCTAAGATTGACTTGAAGATGAGAGTGTGTTGATAGAGAAGAGTAAAAAAACTTTTTTTATTAAAATACTGTTATTAAATTAAAAGTCTTTTAAAAATAGAATAAATACCTCAAGAAGATCATGAAAGCATTTTTTTTATTACAGCATTTTTTTTTCAAATAGAATAATTAATTTATTATGTTCAAAGTTAGTTTATAATTTTAATTATATTAAGTATATACTAAATTAAATTTTACAAAACACTCAAATTCTTGCAAAAGCTAACTATAAAATCAAATTAAAATAAAGAATATTTATTTGCTACAGAAAAAATATGCATTAAATAGCAATTACTACCATTTATTTAAGAAAATTTTTATTAAAATGAAAGAGTATATTTATTTACTCTAAGATGGACAATCCTCCGACACAGATAAACATACAAAAGAATGGCTTAAAGAAAATTATTTAGATATAATCTAAAACCCTTCCTTTTCACCCACCTTCCATAAATTATAAGTTAACAATTTCTAAATAAATTAATCTTTTTAATTTTAAAGCTGCTTTTTTAACTATTTATTCGAATTCATAAGAAGTTCTATTTTAAATAAAAATAATATTAATTATTTTTTAGCTTTTAATATTAAAAATATGATTTTAAAATAAATTAAAAAAAAATATTTACTCTTCAATTTCTATTTTAAGATTTTATAAATGATTACAATTAAGTAAACCTTTAAATTTAAAATAGTTGCAATTTTCTCTAAATTATATTTAAATTATTAAATAAGCTCAAAAATCTTCTATTTTAATTTTAATTTTACGTTATTCTTATTTCTAAGCTTAATAATTTATTGATACTGCAAATGCATTTAGATACATTCAAATTAAATTAATCAGATGTTTCGTTTTACCTTTTAGTTATTAATTTAGTGAATGAGAAAATATACAAAATAATGATAGTAAAAAGATAAATTTGCACTAAATTTTTAGATTTCTTAAAATTGTAAGTTATTGATTATTCATATATAGATTAAAAAATAAAATTTATTGGTGATTTATATTGAAATATGATAAATATTTAATTACTTTAACGAAAATGATAAACTACTGAGATTTTAACAGGTGCTCAAGACATCTAAAATATTATTTCCTCCTTCATCTCCAATCAAATTATCTCTTTTTTTTAAAAAAAACTTGAAAATACTTATCAATAAATAATGTAACCATTTAAATATTGTATAAAATAATAAGAGGAGGAGGTGTATTGAGAATAAAAATAGTTAAACCTCAAAAAATATGGTTTCAAGTAAATAAAACATATGTTTTAATTTATTTATGATTTGAAGGTAAGTATTGAGGTATTTATTTAATTTTTGATAAAGTAACAGCCATAAAAATTACTCTAAGTTTAACTCTAAGCATTTTAGATTTTTAAAGTTATTGAGTGCTTTGCCTAAAGCAGAAGCTCCATCATTACCTATGCCGTTGGTCCTATAAATATAAAACATTTAAATAAAAATAAATATTTAAGTAATAATTTTAAATATTTTAATATTCAGAATAAATTTTTAACATAAAAATAAATGAAACTATTAAAATTTTTATTAGATGAAACATTAATATGAAAAAAAAATAAATAGAATTTACCATAGCATTAATATAAGATCAGTTAAATTTTTTAATTCAGATATTCCTTTACTAATTGCTACAGCTCCTTAATCTTTAATTTAATTTCCACTTTTAGTTTTAATACAAAAAATCATCTAAAAAAAATGATCATAAAATGTTCTTCATAGATCAATTCAAAAAATTAAATATAAATAGGTACCCTAAGTATAATATCAAATTGGTTAGGTTTTTTAAACAACTTAATTGAATTCCTAAATCAGTTGCTCCCTCTTATGCTATTTAATTCATCCTTTTAGATTTAAACGATTATAAGATTTGATTGAATATTTGATTAAAATAAAAAAAGTTTTTCTATTTTCAATTTAATGTTTTTTAAATTAATAAAAAAACAGCTGTTGATTGAATAAAAAATAAATAAATAAATAAAATTATTTATAAATTTTAATTTACAAATTTATTAAAATTAATTAATTAAAATAAAATGATTATTTTATACCATAGTCCAACTTCTAAATATTTTAGTTTTTCTAAATGGCCTAAACCATTAACAATACTTATAGTTAGTGTATCATTTATTTCACATTATCTTTAATTTAAAAAAAATTAAGTAAAGAAAAAATTAAATTATTAATAAATGCTAAAAATTAAATGTTTTAATTTAACTGTTTGAAGGTAATTATAAAAATTAGATTTTAATCAATTAAATTGTGATCAATCAATATTAAAAATATTAGAAGAATTCAAATTAATTTACTAAAAGTGAAATTTTAAACAAGTTAGGTTTGTTAGTTTCTTGAAAGCAGCTCCTAATGTAATCAATTCCTCTACATCTTAAAATTTGCAATATCTTTTTTATAAAAAAATAATTGTAAAAATATTTAAAAGGGATAATTAATTATATATATATGTATAGTACCCAAGGGTACTGCCTTTTTCAAGGCTATACACTGAAATTTTAGATAACACATAAAATTTTTTCTAAAGTTTGTTGGAGGGAGGGTGGGTGTTAAAATATGAAAACTTACAGTATTTATTTATTATAAGCAATTTTAAAAATTTAAATGAAAAAAAGCTTACCCAAAGTTAAGTTTGATACTTTATAAGGTTTTCAAGACACTTAATACTTCACATAAAGCAACAAATTGCTTAACTTTAAATGGAAATTTTCTTTTTTAAAAATAACATTTAATTAAATTAAAATAAGTTTATTATAGAGCATTTAATAGATTATTTTGCATTCAATATATTTCAAAAATTTAAATAATAATAGATAGAAATGGATTTTTATATATAGAATGCATTGAGAAATAAACTGTTTTAAATTGACTATATAAAACTGTTGAATTAAATTAATTTATTAATAGTAAATTATCAAAATAATATTTTTTAAATAAATAAATTAATTATTAAAATAAACTCTTTTATAAATATTATTTTATTTTAAGTAATTTATTGAAAGTTTAAAAAAAATTAAAATTAAAAAAGTATTTATTTTTTAAGATAGACTCTAAAATAAAACAATTTCTTAGTTTAATTTTATTTCACAGTTAATTTAAATTACTCGAGATCTAAATCCAAAGATTAAATTTTCTCACATTTTCTTAAACTAGTACAAAGCAAGCTAATAAATTAAGGCTCCCTATAATTATCCCATCTATTTATGAAAATTTAATACAAAATTTTTTATAGATATGTTTAGTTAAAATAAAAATTAATTAATTTATACTAATAAAATCGTAAATCAAAATGAGTCTGATGAGATAAGTCAGATTCTGCAAACTATTTTTGGTTTTTATTAACAAAAAATATATTTTTAAAACAATATAAACTATTTAAAATAATTACGCTGTTCGGGGAAGTGTAAATTATGTTCTATTAATCCATTTTTTTCTTCACTTTTAATTCTTAAAATTAATTAACTTTTTAATACTTAATTTTATAATTTAAATTTATCAATAATTTCCTTTTATTCAATTAATTCCTTTATTCCAACCCTAAATGGAAAGAGCGTTTTGGCTATGACTGAGATCTATCCACTATTACATAGAGTCTATGAAAAATTACTATAAAAACTGTGTGATTTAAGCTCTTAAAAATAAATAAATGAATGATTGATTTTTTTTACCTTAATTTTATATTAATGGTTAAGCAAGTTAGTAAAAAATATATGATATATTTATAAATAAATTAAAGTTAAGAAAATTTTTATAATTTTTAGTTGCTCCATATTTAGAAATTCCACTGATTCTAAGTAAATCCTTAATCAACTGAATTTTAATAATTATTTAGACAAAAATATTTGATATGTAATTAGCTTCCTTGCTTTTTATCATAGAATATTTTCCTATTCATTTATTAAAATAAAAATCTTCATAATCTAGTATTTGTTTATTTTTTTTACAATACCTAATCTACAAAATAATCATAAAATATAAATATTTTATATATTTTTACTTCATCATATCTGTTTAATTCATTTTCGATGGTTTTTGACATCTTTTTACGGGGAAAATCTCAATCAATTCTCTTTTTACACCTAAGCACTCTTTCAAATTTCTATTAATGTCTTTTGAAAAAAATTCTAAATCATCTAAAGCATTGAATGTATCATAAGAAAATATATTTTAATTACCAATGAATAGCTTTTTATTTGTATAGGAAAGCATTTTTTTATAAAATTAGGTTATTATGTAAGTTAAAAATAAAAATAATTTAATTATAAACAAAATTCACTTTTTAGATAATTAAATTTTTCCGATTTAATTTTTATATTTATCCTAATAGTTAATTTCAAGAAGCTATCTATTCTTTTGTATCTTTAATTTTCATTAATAAAATATTTGCTTATTCCCATATTTGATATATTAAAATTTAGTAAATAAACTGTGTGAGTAGGGAGGGATAAATAATCTTGATTTCATTAAATAAATATCTCTTTAGATTTTAATGCCTACAATTTTTTCAAAAGTTTGTTGGAGGGAGGGTGTTAAAATATGAGATCTTACAGTATTTATTTATTTTAAGCAATTATAAAAATATAAATGAAAAAAAGCTTAGCCAAAATTAAGTTTGAGACTCTATAAGGTTTTCAAGACACTCAATGCTTCACATAAAGCAACAAATTGTTTAACTTCAAATTGATATTTTCTTTTTTAAAAATAGCATTTAATTAGATTAATATTAGTTTTTTATTGAGAATTTAATAAATTATTTTGCATTCAATATATGTCAAAATTATAAATAATAATAGATAGATAAATTAATTAATAGATAGATATATATATATGGATTTATAGATAGAATGCATTGAGTAACTGTTTTAAATTTACAATATAAAACTGTTGAATTAAATTTGTGAATAGTAAATTATCAAAATATTATTTTTTAAATAAATTAATTATTAAAATAAACTATTTAAAAAATTAAAAAAAAATTAATTTTATTTTTAGTAATTTATTGAAAGTTTAAGAAAAATTTAAATTAAAAAAGTATTTATTTTTTTAAATACTAAAATAAAGCAATTTCTTAATTTAATTTTATTTCATAGTTAATTTAAATTACTATAGATCTAAATCCAAAGATTAAATTTTCTCTAATTTTCCTAAACAAGTACAAAGCAAGCTAAATTAAGATTCCTGATAAATATCATCTCTATTCATTTAATGAAAATTTAATACAAAACTTTTATAGATATGTTTAGTTAAAATAAAAATTAATTAATATATACTAAATTCGTAAATCAAAATAAGTCTGATGAGACAAGTCAGATTCTGAAAACTATTATTGATTTTTATTAACAAAAAATATATTTTTAGAAAAAATTTAAACAATTTAATTTAATTACACTGTTGACGTTCACGGTAATGTAAATTATGTCCTTTTAATCCATTTTTTTCTTCACTTTAAATTCTTAAATTAATTAACTTTTTGATACTTTATGTTATCATTAAAATTCATAAATAATTTTCTTTTATTTGATTAATTCCTTTATTCCAACTCTATATGATAAGAGCGTTTTGGCTAAGACTGAGATCTTTCTATAACATACAATCTACGAAAAATTACTATTAAAACTATGCGATTTAATCTCTTAAAAATAAATGAATGTTTTTTTTGTTCATAATTTTACATTAATGATTAAGCAGGTAAGTAAAAAGTATATTATTTATTACAGTATTTATATTTAAAATCAATTCAAATATTTTCTATTTAATCTGATATAAAATAATGAGAAAAATTAATTAATTTTTTTATATATTTGATTAAAAAGTTCTATTATTTGCAGATTGCATGATTAAAAATTATAAAACAATTTATAATAAATTTTATTCAAATCATAAACACTTAAAGTTTATTTTTAATTTATTTAATAATTTAAAAAAAAATAAATATCCAAGAAAGTATTTAGTTTATAATAAAAAATTACAAAGGATTCATTAAATAAATAAATTAAATTAGGCTTAGGTTCTGCTTTAGCAAATTGCATTAATCTCTCAAATTTGACACTTTACCTTTCGTAAAAACAGTTTATTTGTTTTGGATTGTGATATTTTTAATTATAAAAACAATAATGCTCTTTTTTCTTTTTCTTTTTATTGTGCTTGCTTTTTTTTGTTCTTTCTTTGTTAATTTAGCTCATCATTTTATTTGAACTCTTGCTTTTATTATTTATTTCTTATTATTTCATATTTTTTCTTCATTTTTTCCTTCTAATTAACTATTTAATGATATATTTTTTCTTCAATATTTAAAAAGTAACAATTAAATTGGTGATGAAGGTGCATCAGGCTTAGGTTCTGCTTTAGCAAATTGCATTAATCTCTCAAATTTGACACTTTGGCTTTAGTAAAAACAGTTTATTTGTTTTAGATTGTGATATTTTTAATTATAAAAACTAATTAAAAACAATAAAGCTCTTTTTTTTTTTGTTTTTATTGTGCTTGCTTTTTTTTGTTCTTTCTTTGTTAATTTAGCTCATCATTTTATTTGAACTCTTGCTTTTATTATTTATTTCTTATTATTTCATATTTTTTCTTCATTTTTTCCTTCTAATTAACTATTTAATGATATATTTTTTCTTCAATATTTAAAAAGTGACAATTAAATTGGTGATGAAGGTGCATCAGGCTTAGGTTCTGCTTTAGCAAATTGCATTAATCTCTCAAATTTGACACTTAATCTTTAGTAAAAACAGTTTATTTGTTTTGGATTGTGATATTTTTAATTATAAAAACTAATTAAAAACAATAAAGCTCTTTTTTTTTTTCTTTTTATTGTGCTTGCTTTTTTTTGTTCTTTCTTTGTTAATTTAGCTCATCATTTTATTTTCAACTTTTGCTTTTATTATTTATTTCTTATTATTTCATATTTTTTCTTCATTTTTTCCTTCTAATTAACTATTTAATGATATATTTTTTCTTCAATATTTAAAAAGTAACAATTAAATTGGTGATGAAGGTGCATCAGGCTTAGGTTCTGCTTTAGCAAATTGCATTAATCTCTCAAATTTGACACTTTACCTTTAGTAAAAACAGTTTATTTGTTTTGGATTGTGATATTTTTAATTATAAAAACTAATTAAAAACAATAAAGCTCTTTTTTCTTTTTCTTTTTATTGTGCTTGTTTTTTTTGTTCTTTCTTTGTTAATTTAGCTCATCATTTTATTTTGAACTTTTGCTTTTATTATTTATTTCTTATTATTTCATATTTTTTCTTCATTTTTTCCTTCTAATTAACTATTTAATGATATATTTTTTCTTCAATATTTAAAAAGTGACAATTAAATTGGTGATGAAGGTGCATCAGGCTTAGGTTCTGCTTTAGCAAATTGCATTAATCTCTCAAATTTGACACTTAAGCTTTAGTAAAAACAGTTTATTTGTTTTGGATTGTGATATTTTTAATTATAAAAACTAATTAAAAACAATAAAGCTCTTTTTTTTTTTCTTTTTATTGTGCTTGCTTTTTTTTGTTCTTTCTTTGTTAATTTAG